TACACCACCACTTGAGTTGGAAATTGTACCTTTGCTTGCACTACCTCTTGCTGTGAATTGGCCTCCACTTGGTGTACTTCTTGTGCTAAAAGATACTCCTCTATTAGACTTCATGTCTTGCTGCAACTGACACTCAGCTTTACTAGCTTGATGTACCAATTTGATAAGATTGTGGTACTGCTAAAATTCAACAATGCGCTGAATATTTCGATGCAATCCCAACATGAAACATGCAATAGATTGTTCTTCATCTTCATATACATTGGCTCTAATCATCTTCTTCTCCATCTCTTTATAATACTCATCAACATTAAGGCATCCTTGCTTCAAATTCTACAGCTTGTCAAATAGATCACGACAGTAATGTTTGGGACAAACCATGCACTCATTTCTCTCTTCATTTCAGCCCATGAACGGACTTCACCTTGCCCAGCGTCTTCTCTATCATTGAGCATTTGTTCCCACCAAATTAGAGCATAACCATCGAACTCAAGAGTAGCCATGGCCATCTTCTTCTGCTCCGAATAATTATGCAAGCGAAAAATTTTATCAACCTTCAATTCCCATGTAAGATATGCTTTACGATCAGACCCTCCATCAAACTTGGGCATATTGAATTTTAGCATGCCAAACCTCTCCTCATTGAGCTGATTACGCCCATGATTTCCTCGATGAGGATGACCATCATTACGGGGCTATTCAACCTCTTCTTCTTCTTCCTCTTCTTCAGTCCCACTTTCCTTAAGTTCAAGACCTCTTCCACGATCATGATTAACACCTCTTCCTCCATTTCCACACCTTGGAGGCAGAGGGCTTCTCGTCGCATTTGCAGCAACTCGCTCTCGGTGCCTTCGTTGTTCTCTTGTAAGTCGAGCAGCAGCTTCTTCTTCCGTTTCATCAACTTCATCTTCATGGTCACTTGCATTTGCATTATCACGAGGTTGGCGATGTTCTCTAATTTCAACCATAAGGGCTTGAAGATCTTATGACAACTGATCTTGCTTGTCTTCCATGCTTTGCATTAGTTCATTAAATTGTGCCATAGTGACACAATCATCAATCTCAGGTGGATCAGACATCTTCCTGTGAAGTTAGTGAGGACAAAGCAACAAATATATGTGGAATAGGAAATTATATGCGGAATCTCACAACCTCACCTCTCTTACCAACTTAAGCTCTTATGAATTTCTATGGATTACAGAAGGGCAATGCGAGGTGGTAACAAGAAAGTGATGGTTAAGCAAATACAAGATTAGCATTCCTATGAAGGTGGCTTTTATGTGGAGCTTGGTGGGGAATGATTCACAAGGAAGGCAATCTAAATTCTAGATATTGCAAAGCTAAATCGCAGTCTAAACTAGAAGTTCAATGCCTAGTGCTGACCACAATATACGAGTGATGTAAATGGATCAAACACACGAGCAAAGAAAATTCAGATTTGATGCAAATAAGGAGTATGCTTAGGATGCAAGTGTTGCAATCAAACCGAAGCAAAATTTTGCACCAAACAAAGATAACAAAGTGGTTACTCACTTGATATGAAAAACTTTCAGCACTTGTGCTCATAAACAAACTGATCTTTCAACTCTTCTTTTACAATTTTACTCAACTCTTTTTTTAACAAAAAAAATTTCTCTCTTTTTTTTGACACACTTTTTTTTATAGAACTAAAAACAAGATCAGATATAAAACTTGCACACTTATAACAAAAACAAGACACAACTAGAGTCTATAATTTGATAGGATCAAAGTTTACGCGAAGGATGATAACGGTTTTTTAGATTTTTTTGTGGGGATTTTTAGATATTTATAAAAGAAGCTCAAAGGACACGCGAAGGATAATATGATCAACAACTAAACAAGGACTCTAATGGACCGAAACTTAACAAAACTCATTAGAAAAACAGATTAAAACAAAGGGTTATAGCAAAATATTTTTCTGGCCTTTTGGTGGATAGGACGAACAAAAATTTATATGTAGCTAAGGGTAAAGAATCCTACCGTGGCAATGAAAGCTCTAATATCAGATGATGAGGTTCTTGGTCCTGATCTTCACGATGTAGGATCTTGATCTTGATATCTAGCTGATGAACAGTCGGATAACTTGCTGTAAGCAGCGATAACTAGTGCAACCTGACGACACGCACAAGGAGCCAACCACCGTCTCTATACGGTAGCCTAAACCAAGGATTCACCCGACCACACTCTCAAAGAGACCAACCTATGCAACCTAGAATCAATGGACTAGGAGCACGGATTGGGTACCGATGATGCGGCCGCTTCTGTAATATACATGAAGGAAAATACAAGAGCAAAGGGGTAGAGATCTCTCTCTGGTTTTTGTTAGCACACAACTGAACAAAGGGTTTGTATTCTCATTATCAAAGTCTTAATCTAAGTTTTCTTGGGAGCGCAGGGATATTTATACTAGGAACAACCCTCCTAGATAAGTCTAAACATGAAATAGAAATCAAAAGGTAGAGTATGTGAAAAGGCTTCCACGAATTGGATTTCCAAGAGTCTTCAGACGGCTGTCAGTTTGCAAGCAGTCTCCACTAAAAGAGTTGTAACTCCCTAGTGGGAAGTCGAAATGATGAGCCATTTATTGGGTGTGAAAGTAGACTTAATAAACTTTCCATCCATGTGCAGCATGCATCACAAAACTTCGTAGAATGGTACAGTTTTGCATGGGAAGTTGTACCAACATTCTATCTCGAGAAGACTTGTTGACCTTCTGAGCAGTCTTGACTAATCTGCATGTATCTCAATACTTGGACGTCCAAAATACTTGTACATGGTACCATTGGAAACTAGACTTGATGAGCTTTCCAAAATGTCCTCATGGACCTTCATAACTTTTGGGAATCAAAAGTTATGGTAGTTTTTTTTAGGCCCGGTCATCTGTCCGCATTACTTTTCCCTCTAGAGTCCGGTCATCTGTCCGTGCTACTTTTCCCTGGGTCTGGTCGTCCGTCAATGCTACTTTTCCGATGGAACCATTTTGTAGCACCGTGTCTTCCATGTCTTCATGCGCATACCTGAGCAACATCAAGATAAAATATTTAGGTAGTATAACATTCTTAGAAATGATGAAATTATAATCAGTTAGGAATGAATTCACCTGCTCTTGTAGTTTCTTGGCGTGACTTCGTGTAAGTGGCCCTTGATTTGTATCCTTAATGTTGGATGGTGAGTTGTTGATACTTGAGCTAGCATGTACGATTGGGATGTCCTCATCAACGTTACATGTAAGCCGTCTGGTCCCACATGTCGGATGTAGATGGGTCCCGCAGGTACACGTCGGATGGAGAAAGGACCGAGCGAAGACTTTTATGACGAATTACAAGCGTCACGGATGAGTAACTGCAGGTCCCACAGGTACACGTTGGATGGAGAAAGGATCGAGCTGAGACTTTTTATGACGAATTGCAAGCGTCACATATGAGTAACTACAGGTCCCACACGCAACTACAGGTCCCACAGGTACACGTTGGGATGAAGAAAGTACCGAGCGGAGACTTTTATGACGAATTGCAAGCGTCACGGATGTGTAATAGCATGTACCACAGGTATACGTCGGATGTAGAAAGGACCATGTGGAGATTTATGACGAAGTGTCGTTCGTTACAGATCAAAAACTTTGTCACAGATGTGTAATTAGTTCAATGACGAAGCCCTGGTCGTCACAGTTCTAAAGAGAATCATCATAGATGAGCAGGAACAGTCGCGTGAGGGTTTTTTATGACGAACCCTGTGCTATTCTATGACGGTTTTGTGTGACGGTTCCTGATTTCATCATAGGGAGAGTTGGAGGATCGTCACCACTGATCTATGATGAAATGTGAATATTCGTCATTACGATTTTCATCATAAAAGTAGATATTTCTAGTAGTGGTTGATTACTTGCCCCTGAACACTCTTCATACAATTGTATAATATGTTGTAAATAGTTTACATTGTCTTCATCAACTTTTAGAAAAAGTAAGGAGTCATCCACAAACAAAAGGTGAGTGATGCTCGGAGCATTGGCACCTATAGTGATACCTTAGTAGCTTTCCCTCCCCTTTAGCTGCATTTAATAGTGTTGAGAAACCCTCGACACAAATCAAGAACAAGTATGGTGATAATGGTGGAGACCTATTGATGGAGTAATTTCATTAGTCAACTCACCATTAACTCTGATACAGTAAGAGACTATCGTGTCGATATGCATTTTATAATAAGCTCCACCCATACATTACAAAAGCCCAATTTTAACATCATCCTCTGAAAAAAAAGACCACTCAATCCGATCGTATGCCTTGCTCATGTCTAATTTTAGTGCTGCATAGGCATCAACTCCTCTTCTCTTGTTCTGCAGGTGGCATGTTTAATTTTAACTAGTTTTTATGGCCTGTTTGGATTGCATAGCTAAAAATTAGCCCGCTTTATTAAAATTGATTAAACATGAGCTAATTATAGGGTAATAAGGGCTAATTGACTCTAACAATCAATTAGCTCATGTTTAGGCTTTCTAACTGGTATAAAAACATTGGATAGTTATTAGCTCCCTGATCAAACACCCCCTTAGTATTATCTTTGTATCATGTCATATTTCTTCGTTGTTATTCGCTTGTTTAGCGATGAACTGAGAAACGGGACACCGAAGTCATCGGTTTTTAGCTTTTTTCTAGCACCAAAGGGTTATTAGATTTTTTTTAATGGAACGGTTGTTAGTTGTTGTTGTTTTTAAAGGAACGGTTGTTAGTTTTTTAACACTCAAGTTTTCAAACACCAAATAAACCGAACCGACAACACCGAATAAACCGATTGGGCAGCCCGACGTCACAATTTCTGCCGTTCGTTTCAGATCGGACGGTGGCCCTGACCAAGCCGCCGCCGCTGCCACTGGCCTCTCGCAACCGGCGACCCAATCTCAAAGTAGAGGCTTTCAAAAAAAAATCTCAAAGTAGAGGGTGCTGGCCGCCGCTCTCGGAAGCCCGGAGTGCTGGGGAACGGCCATGGCGATGCGGTCCGCTGCGCGGCAAGCCATACTCTCTCCCCCGCTTGGGCCCCGCGGTCCTGGCCCCTTCCTCTGTGGTCGCTCCATGCCTGTCGCTCCTCGCGTGGAGCCATGCCGAGCGGCGAGCTCCGCCACCGCGCCGGCCGCCGGAAAGCACCTACCTCCATTGTTCAGGTGAGCGGAAGATCTAGATGGACAGGCTGACAAGGTAATGTTCTTGGGTTCAAGCTGATTTATTTTGATGTATTTCTTTTCTACAGTGTCGCGCCGATGATGGACTGGACGGACAACCACTATCGGACGCTCGCTCGGCTCATCTCGCGGCATGCCTGGCTCTACACGGAGATGGTCGTCGCGGAGACCATCGTTCATCAGAAGGATAACCTGGTGAGAGTGTTATGTTGTCCCTTATCTTGATTTTGTTGAGCCTGGAAGATAAATAGGTCCACCGAACTCTTCTGTAACATATGGGTAACACTGTTTCCACAGAAGTATGTTCTCTCGTGATAAAGCTGATTGATTCAAATGCTTACTGTCAAATATGCAGGATAGGTTTCTAGCATTTCCTGAGGAACAACATCCTATCGTGCTGCAAATTGGTGGAAGTAATCTTGAAAATTTAGCAAAAGCAACAGAACTGGCAAATGGTTATTCATATGATGAGATCAACCTAAAGTAACACTCATTTTTATCTCATTTAATCATGCAGTGCATTCTATTTTCAAATAGTTTACACGTTACTTTTGTGATAGCTGTGGCTGCCCCAGCGGCAAAGTTGCTGGTCATGGTTGCTTTGGTGCTCGCTTAATGTTTGATCCAGAGGTTTGCTTCATGAATTCAACATATCAAAATCCATGATTGTTGAGATCTGTTTTCTCTCTCCTTATTTAATGTTGATTCAGTTTTCTGAAGTTTGTAGGGGATGCTATGTCAACTATTGCAGCTAATTGTGATGTCCCAGTTAGTGTTAAATGCAGAATTGGTGTTGATGATCGTGATTCTTATGAAGAACTATGTGAGTCTTCTTCACAAACCTCTGGCATTCTAAAATGTCCTGTAGGCTTGCCAAATATCAGGAAGGGATTCCTGAGTTGAGATTTGTCGGTGTTTTCGGACCACCGACGAGTAAATTTGTATTTGCGCCTCTGGCTCGGATGGTGTGCTCGGAGGACACAAGAGTTTATACTGGTTCGGGTGAAACGTCCCTACGTCCAGTTTGCTGCTGCTCGTGTTACCGGCACTTGGTTTGCAGTAGGGGTTACAAACCGACGAGAGAGGGAAATGATTACAAGTCTCTGGTGGAAGGAGTGAACGGGTGCTGAGAGCTCGATCGCTGCTCAGCCGTGTGTTTGTGTCGTGCTCTTGTGTTTTTTTATCTCGTGGTTCGGTCTCGATCCCCTTTCATAGGGCGCCTTGCTTTCCCTTTTATAGGCGAAGGGAAAGCGCGGGTTACAGCGGAGGAAGAGGAGAAAAGAGAGAGAAAATAAGGCTTCCAGGATCATCGGGTCCTTCTTCTCCTTGATGCGGGTCCCGCCGATCCTGTAGATGTCGACAGGGACGACTTCCACATTACGGCCCTGTTCATCACTGGCGCCATGCGCAGGCGTCATCTGCCGGTCATGGCGTTCCATTCCGTCTCGGCGGACGTCGTGGTGAACTGACGCGCCTGTTAGCGTTCGTACGAGGGTTAGGCAGAACAGCACCGCTCGCCCGACACTGTTCTTGATGTGAATCATCAGGTATGGTCCGTCATGGCCACGGGTTACATCGAGTCGTGCCAGTCTCTTCCCTGGTGTCAGAGTTTTAACTCAGGCCCATACGCTTGGACCTGGAGTGGTTGGCGGCGGTATGGGTCCCCGTCGGACGAGACGGAACCCGCGTCCTTGGGGTCGGGCGAGACGGAGCCTGCACCCGAGGGGTCGGGCGAGAAGGAGCACGAAACCAAGGGGTCGGGCGAGACGGAGCCCGTGACCTTGCACGAGACGAAGTCCGCGACCTTGGGGTCGGGCGAGACACAGCCCGCACCCAAGGGGTCGGGCGAGACGGAGCTTGCGGCCTCGAGGTCGGGCGAGGAGGAGCCCGCGGTCTTAAGCGAGATGGAGCCCGCGGCCTTGAGGTCTGGCGAGACGGAGCCCGCACCCAAGGGGTCGGGCGAGACGGAGCCCGCGGCCTCGAGGTCGGGCAACGAGGAGCCCGTGGCCTTGGGCGAGACGGAGCCCGTGGCCTTAGGGTCGGGCGAGACGGAGCCCGCACCTGATGGGATAAGTCTCTGTGTTGGCTGGTCTTTGTGGGGCTGCAGCATATGGTCCTCATGGACAACATCCTTGACTGGAGGACAGCAGCATCCTTGACTGGAGGACAACATCTTAGCATCTAGGATAACATCTTAGCATATAGGACTAGCATCTTGACATATGCTTGGCTGGCTAGCAGCCTATAAATATGTATCCCCAACCCCTCAGGTTGGCATGACATTTGTGTGAGAAATAAACCAGAAAATTGTCCCAACTCCTAGTGTCATCCTCTCTCGATGAGAGTAAGAATTCTGCTACTACCAAAAGTAAGAATTCAGCGACTAACAGCACCCAAGGGGTCGGGTGAGACAGAGCCCGCGGCCTCGAGGTCGGGCGAGGAGGAGCCCTCAACCAAGGGGTCGGGCGAGACGGAGCCCGTGGCCTCGAGGTCGAGCGAGACCTTTTAATACGTCTTGCTCAATCCGGGGAAGTCAGCATGTGCGCTAATTTCCTTGCTTTGGGCATCCCTAATATTGATACCCGACAGTAGCCCTCGAACCTGTGGAGGAGTAGAATACTTCTTTAGAGGCTTTCCCAGACGGGAGGACTCTGAGGGCCTTGGCCTTCCTTTTTAGCCCGCGACGTGTCCTGGTAGGGCGGCGATTCCCTTTTGTCGCGATCGGTCTTCTTGGGGGCATGTAACCGTAGGACTCGGGAGGTTGGAAATATTTTTCTTGATTCCGGTCCCTAGGATCTGATTGGTCCGCCGTCGTACTGCGACCGCGCGTTCGATCTCCTTGCGAGTCCAACTTTCCTCGAGCCCCCGTGCGTAGCAGGGGTCCGGTCGAGGGTCAGCTTGTCTTTGTGATGGGCGAAACATGGTGCTCGGTGAGGTGTTAACGGGCTAGTCCGAGTGGGGCCCCGGCTTCCCGTTCACGGGCATAGGTCAGCTGGTGACCGCCTCCAGACTCTTGACGGTCAGTCCATATAGTTCTTGGGTCCGTTTGGCCGGTCCCAAGAGCTCGTTGCCTTTCTTTAAGGTAAAACCATGGACTAGGAACCAACCAAGACTCGAACATGGGCCGGGATGTCCGCGGCGCTCGTGCGCCCGGGTACTGGCCGCTAGTGGGCCCATCCCTTTCCACCCCTTGCTCTAAGGGTGCCCCGGAGCGGCTGTGAACCCGTCGGTGGGCCAGCCTTCGAACTCCTAGTCCTGAATGTGTTAGTCGCTGAATTCTCACTCTTGGTAGTAGCAGAATTCTTACTCTCATCGAGAGAGGATGACACTAGAAGTTGGGGCAATTTTCTGGTTTATTTCTCACACAAACTCACACAAATGCCATGCCAACCTGATGGGTTGGGGATACATATTTATAGGCTGCTAGCCAGCCAAGCATATGCCTAAATGCTATCCTAGATGCTGTCCTAGATGCTAGTCCTAGATGCTAAGATGCCAGTCAAGGATGATGCTGCTGCTATCCCAGTCAAGGATGCTGCTGCTGCTGTCCCAGTCAAGGATGTTGTCCTTGATGGTAGCAAAAAAACCACAAAGAACACAGAGACTTATCCATCATTCTCCCCCTAAGTCTTGTGCGTCATCTTGTGGGGAAGTTGAACTATCCCGGTCTTGGAGCAGAGCTCAAGGAACTTGATCCTCCCAAGGGGCTTGGTAAGCAGGTCCGTAAGCTGGTCCTTGATGTTGATGTAGCTCGCCTTGATGCTCCCGTCCTCTAAACAGCCTCGGATGAAGTGGTACCTCACCCGGATGTGCTTACTTCGTTCATGGAAAACGGGGTTCTTTGCCAGGGCCAGAGCGGACTTGCTGTCCATCCTGAGCTCCACCGCTCTAGTGTCTCTGCCGAGGAGATCACCAAGCAATCGGGCGAGCCAGAGCGCCTGAGTCGAAGCGGTGGAGGCCGTTATGTACTCGGCCTCGCAGCTGGACAGGGCCACCACCTGCTGCTTGACCGACTGCCAGCTAACGAGGCACTTGCCGAGGAAGAAGAGGATCCCGCTCGTGCTCTTGCTGGTGTCGAGGTCGCCGGCATGGTCGTTGTCGCCGTACCCGACGAAGTGTGCCGCTCCAGGGCACCTCGGGTAGTAGAGGTCGTGGTCGAGAGTCCTCGCAACGTAGCGGATGATCCTCTTCACAGCTTGCTGGTGCTCCGTCGTCGGTCGCTGCATGAACCAACTAACGTAGTCGACGGAGAATGCCAAGTTCGGCCGTGTGTGGGCGAGGTAGCGAAGGCTCCCCACAAGACGTCGGTACTGTGTAGCGTCCACCTCCTCCGTCGTGCTGTCGCGGCTCAGCTTTAGCCTCTCCTCCATTGAAGTGAGAGCTGGGTTACAGTCGGTGAGCCCAGCTAGCTCAACGACGCGCTTGGCGTAGGCGGTCTGTCTAAGCGTGATCCCGGAGTCATCCTGGTGCACCTCGATTCCCAGGTAGAAGGAGAGAGGCCCCAGGTCAATCATCTGGAAGGTGGCCTTCATCTCTTCCTTGAATGCCGCCACCTCAGCATCCTTGGTACCGGTGATCACCAAGTCGTCGACGTAGACACCCACCAGCAGAGCATTTCCTCCACTGTCCCGCCGGTAGATGGCCGCCTCGTGCGGGCTTTGCTCGAAGTCTATCCCCTTTAGCGTGGAATCCAACTTGGCATTCCACGCCCTCGGTGCCTGCCGCAAGCCATAGAGGGCCTTGCGCAGGCGGAGCACCTTGCCCTCTTGCCGGGGATCGCAAATCCCGGCGGCTGGTGCACGTAGACCTCCTCCTTCAAGTCGCCGTTAAGGAACGCCGACTTGGCGTCCATGTGATGAACACGCCAGCCCTCTCGGGCGGCTAGCGCAAGTAGGAGTCGCACGGACTCCATCGGTGCCATGGGAGTAAAGGCGTTGTTGAAGTCGACCCCCTCCTGCTGCACGAAACCTCGTGCCACCAACCGAGCCTTGTGCTTGACGATGGCGCCAGCTTCATCCCTCTTCAGCTTGTACACCCACTTAAGGGTGATCGCGCGATGACCACGAGGAAGGTCAGCAAGCTCTCAGGTGCGGTTCTTCTCAACCGCATCCATCTCCAATTGCATCGCGGCACGCCATGCCGCGTGTCTCGGCCTCTGCAAACGACCGAGGCTCGCCGTCGTCACACGCAAGGTGCAACTGCGCCTCCAGGTCGTAAGGCACCGGTCCTGGCACCGGTTGGTCGCCGAGAAGGTTCTCCATCGTACGGTACCGCAACGGCTCGCCGTCGTGGTACGCGTCGACGCGTTCCTCGTCGTGAGAGAGCGGAGTAGCGAGCTCAACCGGGCCGTGCTCGACACGAGCTGGTGGTGGAGTAGACGCGTGCGGAGTGGTGCTGTCGGGTGCCGGAGTGCGTGGCGTTCTTTTTACTGTAGTGGAGCCGGCGAAGAACTCATCGCAGCCAAGGTCCTGGCTGGAGAGCGTGGTGCTGTCGGAGTAGCAGGCGCCGGGGTCGGTGGAGGTTCGGGGACTGGGGTAGACGCGCTTGCCGAAGAAGAGCTACCTACTCCCCCAGCTCCCTCGAAGTGGACGTACTCGACAGTGAAGTCGTCGAAGCCGAGCCGTCGTCCATCGCCTTGTCCCACGCCCATCCTCGCCCTTCGTCGAACACAACGTCGCGAGCCGTGCGCACACGCTGTGTCTTCGGGTCGAGGATGCGGTAGGCCTTCGAGCCCTCCGCGTAGCCGATGAACACTCCCGGAGTGCTCCTGTCGTCGAGCTTGCTGATGTGGCTAAGCTCCTTGGCAAACGCGAGGCAGCCGAA